CTTTCTCGGTCTTATTTTTCAGCAGCTCGCTCTTTCACTATTTGCAATGCTGCGTGATGAATTAATGGGCTTCGAGGTTGAAATCCCCGTCAAGAACCTAGACGGAAACAAGAAGATTCTAACGAGCACAATTGCCGAGTACCTTTTGATACAGCTAAACAAGATGAAGGCTTGTGATTCCGGCTACTTTCTCTCACTAACCAAGTTGATTCGTATAGGCCCGGGAGATAGTAAATCCATTCCGGAGCACGTTGTTTTTCCGGTGGAGTGTCGCTGCAGAATGCTTAAACCCGTCGGCGGGGAAGTGATGACTGGGGTTGTGTACAAAGTGTACAACAGCGGTGTGTTCATCAAATCTGGACCGATGACCATGGTTTGTTTACCGGATGACCTGATGCCGAATTACAGTTACGTTGCGGGTACGAATTGGGCTCACGTGGGGGTAGATTTGTCCAGGATTGAGTGTGGAGTGTTGGTTCGTTTTAGGGTTTTTTATGCTGCGTGGGTCGATGACGAGTATAGGGAGTTTCGAGTTTTCGCGAGCATTAAGGGTGATGGGCTGGGCCCTGTTTCGATGAACGGGTACGATGGAATCGAATCGGATGAGTATATGATTTAGGTGAATGTTTTGTATGTTACGTTTTCGTTGTACGGGTACGAGGGAAGTTTTGTATGTTATGTTTTGGATGAATGTGAACTCGTAGTGGTATCCCATTTTCTTTATCTTTTTTTTTTTTTTAATTGATAAGAAAACTCGCAGCCACTCGAAGTGCATTGGGTGAACTTTGTTCTCGTTTAAGTGATTTGAGCCGGAAGCTTGAACCTCGAGCTCACGAGATCGAGCTTTTGGCGAGCCGAGCGCGAACATTTATTAAATTTTGAATTTTTTATTTAGTTTTTATTTCGTACTAGTCGAAATTGAAATAAAAATTCGTATTCTAAAATTGAAAATTCGGACCAGAATCAGAGAAATTCGGTAATTTTATTTTCTGTTCACATGTAATATAAAGAAAAATACATAATAATCTTGACGTTATTTCAGGATTAAAAAAAATGAATTTTCATAATTGTTTTCAAAAATTAAAATTGGATCGAAAATCGGAATAATTTGAATAATTTCATTTTACAAATGGGCTAATTAAATGGGCACCTTTTTGGGAGAGCATTGATTGGGCCGAGTTGTTTATCCACAAAGCAGGAACAAAAGTACGAGGTCGAGCGGATTGAGCGTATGCAACGCGAGCTCCAACAATTGAAGGAACGAAGGTGCCCTCAACTCGTTCATTTTGCCGATGATGAAGAGGATAGCTACAGTTCGGCTACCCGTGATCATAACAATCGAGCCTATGTCGATGCACCAACGATCCATAAGATAGCCAAAGAAGCGTGACCGTGACCGTTAGGGGGAGATTGGACCATCTATAAGACCCCTTTTCACGGAGAACATCGTTCAGGACACGATGCGCCCTAACTTCAGCCCCATCAATTTCTTCTATGATGAATGTGGCGACCCACAATATCATTTATACCGTTTCTAGAGCACATCAACGTTGCACCTCCTCTCTGATGGGATAAAAGTGTCGAGTGTTCGCAATATCTTTGGTCAAGGCTGCAAAACTATGGTTCAACAACCTCTAGCGCCCGACTCGATCGCTTCATTTGACCAGTTCAATTCGCATTTTCTACAGCTCGCGTAAGCAGCAAAAGACTAGCATGACTATTTTCAACTTGAAGCAACGAGACTGAGAGACTTTGCGAGGATACTTGAAACATTCCCGAACCGAACGCCCAAACCGGGCGTTCACCAAGCGCAATTTTGAAAGAAAAAACCCTACAAATCGATTTGCAGAGCTGTTTAACATGAAATTACAACCGAAATTTCCTACCCAATGCAATTAAAACTTTTAGGAGTTGAAAATACCTCAAAATTTCGATGAATTTGGCTTGTTTTTACTTGAATTCGAATTTTTTGATTTTTTTCTTTTAAATGTTTCAATTGGGGGAATGGGTGGGAGAGGGTTTGTAGTGAGAGAAGTGCTTTTGGGGTATGAACTGCAAATAGCAAAATTCTGACCCAAAAAACATTTCAATATATATATATATATATACTAGTTTTGGAGCACCGCGCAATGCGCGGTGCCGGTGCCCGGTTTATATATTTGCAAAATGTTTTTTGTTTATGTTGTCGTGAGTTTGAAGGGGTTGATGATATGCTACGTCGAAGTTGCCCCATATCCTGATAATATTAGAAGATTGAATATAACGATCACATTAAAACAGAGCCTTGTATATTGTGAGACGGGGTGTTGCTGCTTTAACTTGAAGAAGTTGAATTTTAGAGTGAAGTCTTGTTGTAGTTGTAAGAAACCCCAAGTATAATTTAGAAAAGCTGCATGGGTTATATAGATAATCATACTAACTATTTACATTCATACTTTATATTGGCCGTACGTAGTATTTACATATATATACATAAAACCACTACACTGTGCATTGTACCAGTTCATCATCGCAGATATATATACCCACCATGCACATTGGTGTCAAAAGATGCAAAAAGGAATCACTGGGTCTATCAAGGACTTCTAACTCCATTGGGTATGTTCTCCTCCGGGTCTTCTTCCGAATCTGTAGATGCCGCCATGTAACCAAAAGTCTGATTGGCTTGGTTGGCAGCGGTACTCGTACCAGACTGTATTAGGTCACGATGGTCGCTTCCCAGCGACCGTGAAGCAAGTACATATCCACGTTGGACAGCAGACCTTGCACGTTGGGTCAGGGCACGCATACTGTGCCTTATCTGTACAAATTGATCAGTAAAGTGGCGTACAATTCGTGCCAGTGCTCGTCGCAGCTGAACATTTTGTTGATTTGCCACATGAAGGGCTCAACTAATACTTTCTATCTCATGTTGTTGTTGATTCAGCATTGTTTGTTGCTCTGCTCTCTCGACCTGTAGCTCTCCAATGTGTATGTTCTGTTTTTGTATTTCTGTTTCCAGCTCGTCCAACCGTGACTCGAGGCTTGTTATAATTTCGTTTTGCTCGGTGATGACCTCTTATGACTGGTTTCTTAAGATTTGTACTCGATCCCTGTCATCCGGTAATCTGTAGGCGATAAAGTCTGGGAAATGTCCTACCAACGTGTGGTTAGGAGTATAAAATTGGGTAGGCGGGTCGACCCTTATGGCAAGTGCATCCGTGCAACCCCCACTGGGTGCATTTCTGGTTTAAGGAACAAAATAAAAAAAAAAGTATAATAATATAGGGACCAAAAACGTAAAATTTGATCGGTTAGTTTATATTTAAGATTTATTTTAACATTTCAATCGACATAGATATGAATGAATTGAATCGTAAGATTTGAATTGTAACTCATAAGATTTTGTGCTCGGTATTGCGAATTTTTCTAAATGTCGGGATATTTTGGATAGTGATAGAGATATCCACTTTGGGGTCAAAATTTGGAATTTGAGTGTAGCGACTAAGAAGATGGGGTAAGTATAGGGGTGATTCTGCAATTTTCAGAGTTGTTTCAGCCAGGGAGGTGGATTTTCGAAAATACAAATTGACCTCCACTTGGGGGCATTTCCCGTTTAAGGACCGGTATTAAAAACTTTATATAATATAGGGACAAAAAACTGTAATTAGCGCAAGTTTTTTATAAATAATATAATAAACTAAAGTTTTCTTAAATCGTAAATTGTAAAATTTGATTGTTTTGTTGATATTTAAGATTTATTTTAACTTTTGAATCGACTTAGGTATGAACGAATTGAATCGTAAGAATTGAATCTTAAATCATAAGATTTTAAACTCGATATCGCGAATTTTCATAAATGAGTCACACGCGATTATAGATGAGGAGGAGTCAAAGCATACTGCGTTGGTGTTCAATATTTCAGATATTGCAAGAGAGATCCACTTGCAAGAGAGATCCACTTTGGGGTTAAGTTTGCAATTTGGGTGGAGCGGCTAGGAATATGGAGTAAGTATAGGGGTGATTCTTCAATCTTCACAACTGTTTCAGCCAGGGATGTGGATTTTCGGAAATTACAACTTGATTTCTACTTGGGGCATTTCCGGTTTAAAGACCAAAATTAAAAATCGTATATAATATAGGGACTAAAATAGTAATTATAACACGTTTATTGTAAATAATATAATAAATTAATTTTTGCTTTAATCGTAAATTGTAAAATTTGATCGTTTTGTCGATATTTAAGATTTATTTTAATATTTGAATCGACTTAGGTATGAATAATTGAATCGTAAGATTTGAATCGTAAATCAAAAGATTTTAAACTCGGTATTGCGAATTTTAATAAATGAGTCACACGCGATTATAGTCGAGGAGTCGAAGCATACTGCGTTTGTGGCAGATATTTCGGATATTGCAAGAGAGATCCACTTTGGTGTTAAATTTGCAATTTGGGTGGAACGGCTTGGAAGATGGAGTAATTATAGCGGTGATTCTGCAATTTTTAAAACTGTTTCAGTCAGGGAAGTGGATTTCTAGAAATTACAAATTGACCCCCACTTGGGGTGCATTTCTTGTTTAAAGACCAAAAAAAAAAGTGTATGTAATATAGGAACCAAAAATCAGAAAATTTGATCGATTAGTTTATATTTAAGATTTATTTTAACATTTGAAGCGACATAGATATGAATGAATTTAATCGTAAGACTTGAATCGTAAACCATAAGATTTTATGCTCGGTATTGCGAATTTTCGTAAATGAGTCACACACGATTATAGCTGAGGAGGAGTAGAAGCAAATTGCGTTGGTGGCGGATATTTCAGATATTGCAAAAGAGATCCACTTTGGGGTTAAATCTGCAATTTGGGCGGAGTGGCTGGGAAGATGGAGTAAGTATAGGGGTGATTCTACAATTTTCAAAACTGTTTCGGCCAGGGAGGTGGATTTCCAGAAATTACAAATTGACCCCAACTTGGGGTGGATTTTTTGTTTAAGTTTATTATAAATAATATAATAAATTAAAGTTTTCTTAAATTGTAATTCGTAAAATCTGATCGTTTTGTTGATATTTAAAATTTATTTAACTTTTGAATCGACTTAGGTATGAATAGACTGAATCGTAAGATTGAATCGTAAATCATAAGATTTTAAACTCGGTATTGCGAATTTTCGTAAATGAGTCACACACGATTATAACTGAGGAGGAGTCGAAGCATACTGTGTTGGTGGCGGATATTGCAAGAGAGATCCAATTTGGGGTCAAATTTGCAACTTGGGTGGTGCGGCTGGGAAAATGGAGTAAGTATAACGGTGATTCTGCAATTTTCAAAACTGTTTCAGCTAGTGAAGTGGATTTCCAGAAATTACAAATTGACCCCCACTTGGGGTGCATTTTTGGTTTAAGGACACAATTTTATTTAAAAAACATGTTAGTAATATAGGGACCAAAAATCGTAAAATTTGATCGATTTGTTGATATTTAGGATTTATTTTAACATTTGAATCGACATAGATATGAATGGATTGAATCGTAATATTTGAATCGTAATATTTTCGTAAATGTGGCGGATATTTTGGATATTGAGAGAGAGATCCACTTTGGGGTCAAATTTGCAATTTGGATGGAGCGATTAGGAAGACGGAGTAAGTATAGGGGTGATTATGCTATCTTCCCAATTGTTTCTGCCAGGGAGGTGGATTTTCGGAAATTACAAATTAATCTCCACATGGGGGCATTTCCGGTTGAAGGACCAAAATTATAAATGCTATGTAATATAGGGACCAACACGT